GGAGACGTGTTCGTGGCAAGAGGCGCCATCGCTACGCTGTTGTCGATGAAGACGACGATGACAAACTAGAGAGTATGGAGATGCTTCCAAAAGGAGGTAAGCGTCTTTAATGATTTATCTCTGTTTCTGATTTAAATGTTTCGCTTAATCTCGCTCCTTGCGTATGTCTAGCCTGTGAATGCAACCCCTGTCGACTCCAAGATCATCTTACCAGGGAACCGTCCGGTTTTTCAGCGGTGTTCGAAAGAGATTGTGTGTGTTTTGGTTTTACGTTGGCTGAGATGTGTTATCAGTCAAAAACCGTGAAACGACGGGAAACTTTATTTAACCAATCAGTGTGAGCATTGTATCTTCTCGACTAATCAGGTGCAAAGCTAAAACAATTAACTTTTCCCGCCCTTGCCTCTGGTTACATGTTTTCCCGCGCTTGCAACGGGTTGCATGTTTTCCCGCCCTAGACATCGGTTACATGTTTTCCCGCCCTAGACAGCGGTTATATGTTTTCTCGCCCTTGTCACAGGTTACATGTTGGCTTTGATCCTGATTGGTCTACGACGATATTTGCTGCCATAGTCATTGATTCAATAATAACTTTTTTTACGACGGTAACCGCTCTAATACAAAGGTCTTTTCTCTAGGTAAATACTTGAGTACCAGTCTCATGTTAAGCGACACGAACGATGATAGCGACGCGGAATCAACGGTTTTTGAAGTCAAGAAACGGAGCATGAATGGCTCAGTGAATGGCTATATTAGGAAAGACACGTGATATAGAATGCACACAGGGGTCCCAAAGTACCACAGCTTTCTACTTCCGGTTTCTGATCTTCAATGCTTCACATGGACAATCCCAGTGTGGCAAAAGCAAAGATGATAGATTCATTAGCTGCCGGTGTTGCAGAAGTTAAAGGCGTTGTTAGCTTCATACGAAATAGACTTGTGTAGCTCGTTGAAAAGGAAAGCTAACGGGAAATCTCTAGGACAGCAAACATGCGTTTCTTATATCCTCATTTACATAGTTTTTATTAACCAGCTACAATCTACGTCAATACGTTTGGGACAATATACACAGAGTCACGCTGTTGCCTATAGTGGTAAATGGTTCAAAATGTCCTTAACGAATACCCTGTTCTACAATGGACAATATTTTCGTTCTTAAATTGTCTTGAATATAAGGATATATTTTACGGCACCTCTGTTCCCCCAAAAAAAGGAATTGCTCTAGTGTTGTCAAGTCCAAAATGGCTCTGCCTGTAAATGTCTCAAGTGTATTAATCAGAATAGGCCATTTCCAAGTTGCCTTTTGCCTCTGTTTCAAAACGAGTCCTGGTGCAAAACCATGCAAATGCAAATGTGTTTGCTTTGCAAGACAATGAACGTGCAAATCAAACTAATTTCCATAAGAAAGGCTGTGCACCAGGACTTGTTTTGAAAGAGAGGCAATCTCGTTCCCAGAGTCCTCGCTACCCTTGTCCAGTGGTGGAGCGGCCAACAAGGACCCCTGGAGAAGGGTAACGAGGATTCTGGGAACGAGATTAAAACAGAGGTAAAAGGCAGCTCTGAAATGGCCCATTGTAGATACAGCCGTACACAACAAATTCAAATGTTTATTATACAAATTTTACGTATTAAATTTCTAGCGAGCTATTTCGCTTTATTAGAAGTAATTAATTTATTAGTAAACACCACCGCAATGATTGTGTCATTCGTTAGAATATTGAAAGTTTATCTTCCTTTGCGCACAATTGTCGTGTTTTGCCACAAGAAGGATTGTGTCGTTCGTTAGAGTATTGAATGTTCATCGTATTTTGCGCACAATTTTTCGTGTCACATTTTATTGAAATTCATCTCTGTCGATATAAATATTCGAGGTTTTTATTAAACCAAGGGCAGATGATCTAAGAGAAGGATCCCGCCACCCCCATACATGGGTCTCTTCCAATGGCTGTCACTTGGAGTGACGTGTGTCTGAGCCTCGATCAGAAGCAAATAAAAAAAAACTTTCACAGCGTGGCACAAAACTATTAATAGATTTCAAAAGATTATCATGTGACACAGGGAACCTTCTCTTAGATCATCCTCCCTTGATTAAACGTATATAGGATTGTACCAACTAGCCTGTGACGTGATATGTAGCGAAAAATATTTACATGGACCTTTCCTCAAGAAAGATTTTTTTTATTCGTTTTAGCCATCTTGTTTTTCACAAAGGTAAAGTGAACTGGACAAATTATCTATTATACATGTACATTTCTCCTGATTCCTCTGTACTGCAAAATGATTGAATTGAAAGTACAGGCCAGTTTCAATACGAGTCCCGGTGCACAATCTTTCATTTTCATTTTCATTCAACTCAAGTTCATTTGATTGGTTTTCATTGGGACTCGTTTTGAAACCGAGGCAAAATACAACTCGGAAATGGCCTATATAGCTACTGACCTGTTTGATTTAATAACTCGTTTAACATGTTTTGATTGGCATTAATTTATCCTAATGTACCAATAAATATAAAGTATACACGTCAAGAGAAATGATATCAAGATATTTAAAACAAATTCTCCCTACTAGTCCTATAGCAAATGTGTTGACATGAGCAAGGAGAATTTGTATATTGAAATAAGTAAGATTCACAGAAGATTATAAGTGGATGCTTTAGTGGCAATCCTTTGCATATCGTGGGTCTTTGTATACGTAGTTTTCTTACTTTGAACTTTTTTTTATAGAATAACTGAAGGCAACATTTAACCCTTTCACTTCCAAGAGTGCTAAGTTTAAAACTTGACGAAAAAATGTTGAATTTCATTTTTCAAAATTGTCAAAAACAAACAGCACCACTTGAAAGTACTGCTCAGTAGCTTTCATTTGAATGGTCACACACTAGGGTTTCATCCACAGAATCAAACGTTAGAATCTGGGAGTGAAAGGGTTAATAGAGGAATTTTCTGAAAATAAATACAGTAAAACAAAGGGGAAAATGTAAACGCATTGAAGCGAAGCTTGTGCATTGTTGCATGCATGCAAATATTTATATATCGTTCCTGGCTCTCGCCAAGGGCAATTGTAACGTAGATTTGCTACAATAAATGAGCAAGGATGGATATTTGAGAATAGAAAAATACTGAATTAAATAAAAAGTTTCGTAATAACTTACTGCGGTGTTGTTTGGTTGTTTCTACTTGACCCTATTTTTCGGAGAACGTGTACCGCAACGGCGAATTTTCTCTTTTCGGGATTTGAACGCTGTCTTTATATATTCAGATGATAATAGTTCGGACACCGATAGACAAACTGAATGGAACTAGAGATTCGCGAGATTTTAAAGTAAAATTCATTATAATATACTCAACAAAATATGCAGCTTCTGATTGGTCAATGACGAATGCATAAATAGGTTATAGAGTGCAATACGGAATTGCGATAAACGGTACCGGACAAGAAGAGACGTTTTTGCCGCTTAATGGCATTGAAATAAACTTTCAAGTTAATGGTTAATTGTTTTCTAAACTATAGTAAAGTAATTCTTTCAAAAAGTTCACGCTAGTTTGCCTGCGCGTTCAAATAAAACATGTGAGCACTCTGGAAACTAGTGAAGCGTTTCGTGTGCAGAGTAGCGTGATGGCCGCAGCAAAATTTTAGAACATTATAAACAAAAAATCGTATGAACTGCTCGTGCAATTAGTGATTTATGGTCACTCGTGATGTTTTGAAAGTTCTCAAATTGCACTCGCCTAAAGGCTCGTGCAATTTTAAGAACTTTCAAAACATCACTCGTGCCCATAAATCACGAATTGCACTCGCGTTCATACGATTTCCTATACTTATTTAATCGACGTGGGCTCTTGCTTAAACTCCCTAATTTCTAGGCGTTTGGAACCTCTGATGAAACATTCGCACTCGCTTGATATTTTATGAGCTGGGACATCAGGTAACATTTTGCTTCACGAATGATATTAATATTAGCTGGATTATGGAAAGTTTTACTGTCGAGCGGCAGTCGTGTTGTAAGTTTGAACAAGACGAGCGAAGAATCCATTCTTATTCCGAAGCAATACCTCCGGTTTGTCAAACTCTACCACTCGTCCCTGCTCCATAACCAACACTTTATCATAGTCCATGATGGTGTTCAAGCGATGAGCGATGGTTAGTACTGTGGAATCTTTAAATCTGTTGCGGATAACTTCTTGAATCAATCTGTCTGTCTTGAAATCCACATTAGCAGTGGCTTCATCCAGGATGATGATCTTGCTTCTTTGTAAGAGCGCACGCGCTAAACAGACCAATTGGCGTTCACCAACACTGAAGTTGCTCCCAGACCCTTTCAACTTGTATTCCAGCTGCTCGGGTAATTGTTGTACCATAGTCTTCAACTGAACCTCTTCCAATGCACGCCACAGATCATGATCTTCGTACAAAGAGAAAGGATCTAGGTTCGTCCTGAGGCTACCGCTAAAGAGAACAGGATCCTGGGTTATTACGGCCATGGACCTGCGAGACGCCTGCAGATTGAGATCCTTGATGTTCACGCCATCTACAATAACCTGCGGATGAGTGAAGAAGAATGTCCAATTAAGTATGCGAACTACATGTGAGCGCGTTGGACTCCGAATTGAGCGTTAGCCGGGGTCGTTGTATTGTGTTTTTGGGCAAGACACTTTTACTCTCACATTGCCCATCTTCATCCAGGAGTAAATTGGTATCTGGGCAACTTGAGGAAACTGCGATACTCCTAGTCACTTCATGCTATGGTAACCGGAGTTATGCGCTGGCTTGATAAACCTTGTAAGGTAAAGGTAGAGCCACACTCGGGCCAAACTGGCCCACACTGCCGGAGCTTATTCCGGTTTCTTTAGCATGAAGCCGACTAGGTCTTGCTACTCCCACTGGATGGGATGCTAGTCCATCGCAGATTACTCTTCAGCATTTTGTCAGTATCCATTTATACTCCTGGGTGGAGAGAGGCACTGTGAGAATAAAGTGTCTTGCCCAAGAACACAACACGATGACCCAGGCCAGGGCTCGAACCCGGATGGAGGCCTCGATCCGGAGTCCAACGCGCTAACCATTAGGCCACCGCGATACTCCCAGGCGCTTCATGCTATGGTAACGGAGTTATGCGCCGGCCTGATAAGCCACTTAATAAGGCTTGTAGACAGACTTTAACCTAACATGGGAGCATCACGGCCTGGGGATCCCGCCTTTTACAATTCTTCACTGTGTGTAATTCACTCATTTGTAACTTCTTCTTCCCTGGAGTTCCTTAATTGTTGGCATTCCACTAAACGCTACGAGTAAGTGAAATGGATATTTATGTTGTGTGTATTTACCTCGCAGGTCACCGAATAAAGGACGTAAGGCACAGATCATCACAGATATAATAGGGACTAGTAAATTTGAAAATCATGCAACAATTGCCAAACGCCAAACGCCAAACGCCAACGCCAAACGCCAAACGCCAAACGCCAAACGCAACGCCAAACGCCAAACGCCAACGCCAAACGCCAAACGCCAACGCAGAATCCATAAAAGTCTTATACTGATTGCCTAATGTCTGCCATAACAAACACCGAAACTGAGCTAACCGGCAAATCAGAGTGCTAAATAGGCTAACCTTATACATGTAGATGAGTTTTAACCCTAAACACGGTCAAATTCTACGTTTGGCGTTTGGCGTTTGGCGTTTGGAGTTTGGCGTTCGGTTCCTACCTCGCCTTCAGGTTCTGGCATTCGAAACAAAGCCGCCACTAAAGACGATTTGCCAGCTCCCGTGCGACCTGCTACACCAACTTTCTCTTTATCAGCAACACAGAGGTTGATGCTGTTCAGAGTTGGTGGCGCTCCTTTCAAATATGCCAATGACAAGCCACGTAATGTCAGGGTGCCTGTTGTCGGCCACGCTTCAGGAGGAAGGGTTGCGGTGCTGTACCCCGGCTCTGGATCAATTTCGGTGTATGTGAACACTCTTTCTACTGAGGTCATGTAATTTTCTGTTTCTGAGGCATTACGGATACCATACTGTGAAAATTCTAATGTCTCGGCTGCGAAGGTGAGAGACATGCCTGCCAAAGCTAGAACAAGAATTAAACATTTCTCTTCAGTCATTGTGAAGACCAATTATACCAAATAATTGCACTCCCTCATAAACTACATAATTAGAAAAAGATACACAGTTGAACCTCTCTCCGACGGCCACCCACGAACATAATTTAAATTGACCGTAGTAGGAAAAACAACTGGCCATTGTAGAGATGTTCCACTGTTGTTCTCCTTTGTATAGAACAAAAATTGACTAAATTCTGATATCCAGTTAACATGATTAAAAACAAAAACACATTTTATACTGAGACCAACTAGGCTCCGTTCGGTTCGGTCCCCGAGGTGGGGATACTCCCTTATATAAGCTATATAGGTATGTGCGGCCCAAAGGGTGTGTTTTTTGAGCCGTTTTGGTCTGAAACATGTACAGCTGGGTATAGATTTTGACCATTTTTTGTCTGAAATAGGGTATGTTTTGTGCACTCTGGTCTGGAATTTGGTTTGGGTTTAGACGAAACTATTTTTGATCGGGGAATTTGGAGCCCTTCTCAAATGTTTACGCAAACGGAACCCATTCCTGGGTAGCTGAAGCCATGTATTAGACACGTGCACTAATGTTATACGTCTGAAATAGGGTATATCGATTTTGTGATCAGGTCTAAAATAGGGTATGATTTTTTTTTTTTTTTTTTTGGGCGGGGGGGGGGGGGGGGGGGGGGGGGGTCGGTTCGGTTCTGTTCCGTTCTGTAATCTGTGACTCAGTCTGCCAGATGACGATACCCACCTGGACTTTGTGTTGCAAATAAAGCTCCAGCTGACACAGACGTCACAAGAAGATTAGAGAAAAGGTCTCCTCGCAAGGATAGCCAACGCGACGAAGCCTTCAGTAATATCAGGGCTGCTGTGTTCTTGTCTTGATATCTACAAAGAAATTAAGACACCCATCAAAATAATGGCTTGACGAGGCTTAACCCAGGACCTTTTTGGGGTTTGAAATTTGCGATCTGAGAACCATTTTGGGTGAAAGATTTTGGTATTAAATGAAAAAAGCGTAACCCAGGGTTGTCATTTATGTAGAGAAAAATGACTTTTTGGGGGTTACATTCTGGGCCGTTGGCCTTTTTTGAGCCTTATTTTAGCCTAACAGGATTTTGTTTGGGTCTAACAATTTGGCCTCATTCGGACATTCACCGTCACTATTAAACCTGATTACCTCCCCTGGCAGGTTTAACAATGTATTTTCAGTGTATTTTTCTATCTTACATCTTACATTACATATCCATCTCTCCTAGACTCATCGTTCCGAACACATAGATTCCCTTCCTGGTTATAAGTCCCCATCATTGGAAGCAGAACTTAAGATAACCACTATGTTAAAGAGCTATGCTATTTTAGATTTTGGTCATTTACCCGTTCACCGCCAGTTTGGATTTTATGAAAATTCATGGTTACCTCTTTTGTTACACAACAACAACAGGAATGGCAAGAATGTGACGTCACATGCATGATCCAAAATGCTGGCGCGCAGGAACTTTAAACCCCAATTTGGCTGATATCTGTATTCAATTTTTCGGTGCAACTAAATGTTCAGTTAGACAATTTAATGGCAATTGCAACTTCCTTAATAAAGGGAAATACCTGATAGTATAAAGTACACTCACTTGTAAAATTTTTGAAGGAAAGCTTTCTCCATCTCTGACGAGCGAATTACTTCCAATCCTGCCACAGTATCAGCAATAAGCGAATACACTGGACTGCATGTTACTGCCTCAAGTCGCCTTAACTCCCGAGCGGATTTTAAGTAATATTTAGTAAGGTAAATAAATAATACTGCCAATGGAGTACAAGTAATAACAAGCCACACATTTGCTGCCGCTGAAAGTATGGTAGCACTGAAAAAGAACAGACACAGTTGAACGGCAAAAGAAATTGCCCTGGAAGCAGATCATCCATGCTACCGATGTCTTTAGAGAAGCGGTTTAAGATGCGACCAACTGGATTTGTGTCAAAGAATAGAACTGGTGCTTTCATAACTGCTTTTGTCATCTGGTCGTGGAGGTTTTCTGACGCCTTCAGAGCAGCGAGATAAAAACAGAATGATGATGCTGTTGTAAGAATCAAGGAGACCATAACAATGGCTCCGTACACCGAAAGCGTAATGTAGTTCTTCTGTTGTTCATGTGGCATCTCCGTCATCCGTGAAAGCCACCAATAGGGCGCGATCCACAACACTAGATATAGAAAAACTGCATTATTAGAGCTCGAATGCAAGACTAAGTTACTTAAAATCCCTGTAAGCTATATAGGACTATATAGGTATGTGCATGCGGCGCCAAAGGGTATGGTTTTTGAAAGTTATCAAAAAGAGGTAAAAAAGATGTCAACCCCCCCCCCCCCCCCCCCCCATCAGACCAGAGGGATTTTTGCTTTCTCCATTATCCATAGCAAAACCATCTCCAGAATCCACCAAAATGCACTTTTCAGAGCCTGAAATCTCAATTATTTTCTGGTGGAGGCCTCCAAACACACCCTCCGCACCTTTTAATAATAACTCAGTACTGCCGTCTACTTCCAAAAATTATCCTTCTACTTCATATTTTCGGGGAAAACCCTGGTACGTCCCTGTCAAAAAATTCCTGGATCCGCCCCTGTCATATCTATCCATTACGTTAGTAGATCAATCATTACTCACCCTGAACAATAGCAAAGAAAATGGCAAGGCTGACTATCAAACATTTTGGAAGGGCAGCTCTAAAATACTTCCAGTACAACCACCACTTAACAGTTCCAACCATTCTGTCCTCTTCTTCATCTTTTAAATCCACCCTTTCATGATCTGCTTTAGGACCTTCAGCGACATTCATGGATTTGAAGGTATCTTCGCTGAAAACTGTAGCAATCCGCTCATTGTCGATCTCGCAATTGGAATCTTGCTTTGGTTCAGATGGAAGAGAGAAAACCCTTGCTTGTCTTGTACTATTCCACTATATGTACCTTGACACACAACAGAGCCATTCTGGAGCATCACAATAGTGTCTGTCTGTTTGAGAAACTGTAACTGATGAGTGACCAGAATACGTATTCTCCCGGCTAAGAACTCTTTAATGCATCTATCGAACAAATGTTTGCCGACTTTGGAATCCACTGCACTGAGTGGATCATCCAACAAGTAGATGTCTGCATCTGAGTATATCGCTCGTGCCAGACTCACTCATGCACGCTGACCGCCACTTAGGATCACTCCACGTTGTCCAATCTCAGTTAGATCGCGTTTTGCAAAGCGTGCTATATCTTTCTCCAAATCACAGACTTCAATAACTTTATGGTACCTTTGCTCAACCAACTGCTTACCAAAAATTATGTTCTCTTGCACAGTGCCAGAATAAACCCAAGGCATTTGGGAGACGAATGCCATTTTTCCAATGCAAGATATTTTACCGGAAGATATTGGCAGTTCTCCTAACATGCTCATCAGTAAAGATGATTTGCCGCTTCCAACTGGCCCCGTTATGCCAACAAGTTGCCCATTAGTAGCACTCAATGAGACATTTTGTAACGCAGGATTTTCTGACACTTGGCTCCAAAAACATGACACGTTTTCAAGACAAGCTTGTGGTTGGATGTTCTGAGATGTGCCTTCAAGTTTCCGAGCACTAATCAAAGTCGGTGTTCCTGTTCTAAAGCTTTCAGTTCTAATACATTGTGGTCTATATCTTCTACCTTTGAGATAAACTTGTAAAGAAGATGGCTTGTCCTTGGCATGGTGTTCCATTTTGCGTGCTAAGATATGCTTCTTTTCTATCAAGCGTTGCATCCTGTTGCATGCAGTTCTTGCATCCGCGATAAAGCGTAGCGAATATGATATTAAAATAGTGACTGTCATTTTTATGTTAGCTAAGGTAGAAAGCAATGTAAAAACTTTAAACGACGTTAGTGTATTTTTCTGTATCAGTAAGAAGCAGTGTCGTGACTGAAATGAATCCTGCAATGGCGGAACTGGTGAAGAACAGAGCGTAGATACTGGAGACGAAGAATCCTCGGATACGAA